ACATGCAGACCTCTGCCTTTAACAAGCAAAAATAAAAACTGCTGTGATGTACATCCCACTAAAGGGCAACAAATTAGGTAAAAGTTTCTTCTGTATTAGAGATGACTGCTTAAAAGGATTATGTTATGTCAAAATGAAAATTTAAGTATGTCACAAAATGTCATCATGATTGTCATGCTTCAATGATGCACATGGTTTTGATTTCTAAATTTTTATTTAAAAAAAAGTACTGTTTTCTCTGAATATTCTACCTTGATTTAAACATTAGCATAGATGGTTGGTAGAAAATAACAGTTGTAGGGCTGGGGATTTAGCTCAGCTGCAAAAAGCGCCTGCCTGGCAAGCGCAAGGTCATGAGTTTGGTTCCTGGTACCGGAGAAAAACAAAAAAAAAAAAAGTTCTATTTTCTGTTCTAAGGTGTTTGATACTCAGGTAAGTTAGTAATATTAAGCTTACTGCTTCCATTATCATGGAATGTCATCAATCTTTTCTGGATATTCACCAACTGAGGTTTGGAGGTCAAAACTTGGAGCACCTTGGTCAAGCAATGGCCATGACTCATCCAGACACTGACACTGACAGAAGTACTGAGAGGCACAGTACATGGTACCATGGTAAATGCTGAGATTGGCCTTGATAGTTAGCAAGAAGTTAACTCTTGGTAGTACCGGTCTTGCTTAAACTTGGTCTTAAACATTCAGCCAATATTACATCCATAAGATGTACAACAGACAGTGCCCTACGAATATGTTAGCTGTAAAAAAGTTCAAATCACCAATAACTTCTTATGACACATATTTTACAAGATTATTTACAATAGTCACCCAAAGAATCATATACAAGAGAGTACAGGAAATCTGTCCACACACTAAAGACCAAAGAATCCAGCTGAAGGCCTGGATCCCATGGCAATGTCCATCAGGACTTCAGCTGGAGAACTAGAGCCAATAACAGTGCCTTTGATGAGTCCAACTGGAGGCCTAAAGCCCAGACAATGTCTCCTGCAGGCCTGGTTCAGGAGTCTATGCTGGGACGGGCCAATGGTCAGTGGTGAAATATAGAAAGTGTGTGCCAGCAAGATGAAGGACAGGTGCTAGCAGGCTAAGGGATCGACACTGCAAACAGGAAGTGACTTTCAATATAAGAAACAGAGCTCATCCAAACAATACCAGAGTTATCCTTGGCAAGCATGAGGGCTCACGCTCCCCGATGATGAAGAAAGCCGGGTTCCCATCAGGAGCACAAGACTGGTTCTGCCTCTAGGGCAGTGAAGATTCCAAGCTGTGGGACAAGCCTGCCCCCTGCTGGTAAGTTAGACAGGGTGAGAGGTATTTTTGTTAACCAAATTTTATTTGTCCTAGCAGTTTTCAAGGCTACTATTTTGAAATCCTGTTTATCTAGGAGTGCTGGGGTAGGCCTGTTATCCCATCACTGGGGAGGCTGAGCCAGGAGGATTGCTGAGAGTTTCAATTCCTTCCTTCCTTTCTTCCTTTCTTCCTTCGTTTCTTTCTTCCTTCCCTCCTTCCTTCCTTCCTTTCTTCCTTTCTTCCCTCCTTCCTTCCTTCATACCTGCCTCCCTCCCTCAATACCCCATTCCATGCTTTGCAGTACTTACAATGGACCCCTTTAATGCTCACATACTGAACTTCTAAGCAACTTTATTTTTTCTTTTTGTTATAGTGTCTTACTTAAGCCTGAATTAGTGCTCAAATTCTGACCATCGTGACTCAGCCTACAGTGTGCTGAGAGAATCCCATAGTGAGCCACCACAGCAGGCCTAGGATAGAAAGTGAATTCACAGCCACCCTGAACTCCATAGCAAGCCACTGCCTTAAGAAAGAAAGAAGGAAATGAAAGAAAGAAGAAAGAAAGAAAGAAAGAAAGAAAGAAAGAAAGAAGGAAAGAAAGAAAGAAAGAAAGGTAAACAAAGAAAGAATGAAAAGAATGAAATACACAAAAGAAAGAAATGTAAAGAAAGAAGTTGATTTCCTCTCATCTTATATTGAAACTCTGTATATTTTGGTGTTTTTTGTTGTTTCTCTTTTTTTTTTTTTTTTT